AAAAGAAGAAATTATTCAATTGTAAAAGGTTTTATTTTTTTTTTTTTTTTTTTGTGCCTTTTTTTTTTTTTTTTTTTTTTTTTGTAAACAAATTGAAATATTTTACACACTTAAGTACCTAAGTACGTGTACATAAATGTGTAGTCCGCTGAGCTACCTATAGAGAAATTTTACAATACTTACGCATTTGCTGTGTAGTAGTAGTAGTAGTAGTAGTAGTAGTAGTATTAGTAGTAGTAGTAATAGTAGTAGTAGTAGTAGTAGTACAAGGCACAGAAAAACTTGATCTTGTAAAGAAAACAACCAATAATAAAAAAAGTACCGAAGAAGCCAACACGTGCTTTAAAGCAAGTGTTTATCAAAAAAACAAAACAAAACAAAACAAAAATAAGAAAGCCACAAAATACCCATATGCTATGCTATGCATAGGTAACGAAGTGCAAGCATACTGATGCATGTGCATTTAATGTGTAGTAAAACCAATGAAGCAAGCAATCAACCAGCCAACCAACCAACCAACCAACCAACCAGACAAACATGCATTGAGGGAACGATGCATAAGCATTCGGATAATAAATATGCTCCAACGGCTATATAGGTGACTGTAGCATTGTGTGGTTTTCTATATGATGTTTGTACCCAGAAAGTTTAAAACTTAAACGCAAACCATTCTGATGATGTCTTCGTATATTTGTTGTTGGGTCGATGCAAGTTTAAAGTTACCTTTTTTTTCGGTTTATCAGAAATGAGGGGAAAAAAAATTGGTAACAATAATCGATGATTGATTGTAGTTGAACTTGTCTTGAACGATTTCTACGCTGCCTCTATTGCTCTCTTTTTGTCTACTTGTCTCTTTGTTTGATTTTTCTGTGTGATTTATGGATTATTCTTTTTTCCCATGTTTTTTCTGTTTCCTAACTATGATTATAAATTGTGCACTGTTTACTCTTTATTATTATTATATATATATATATATATCTATAAATATTTCGAGAACATTTTTATTGAAACTTTTTGGAAAATTTAATCAAGTTTAACTTTAGCAAAACTTTTATATGATAGCAACACACACACACACACACATAAGTTTTTTTGTGTTACCAGGGCGCAATTCACGATTGTTAATTTGCATTACGTGGCCGCCGTGAAATATCCGCTCGCTTCATTTCCATTCCTTAATCATAATAAAATCTCTAAACTTATTTCGCTAGGCTCATTACTTACTGAATAACTTTATGACAAAATTATCGTCGGGGATATTTAAAGTGAGCTGTAGAGGTCCTCAGGGTGCAGACTAACTAGTGTACATATTTTGCCTATGCCGATAACATTTTCATTCTCCTGAGCTGCGATCAGTGGACTTCTGACTAATTAATCTCTAGCAAGACTGAGCAGTATACACTCGGTAACTAATTAGACTTTAGCCTGCATGTGGATACTATTAACGTGAGAGTTTGTCTTGCTTTACGAAAACTCTACAATCTAAAGGTTTGCCTACTATTCAGTATCAAACTGAAAGTCGCTCATATTCTTTCTACGTTACACGTAAATTACTCTGTTAAAGTTCTTTATATAATCTCGCCAAACTAAAATCAGCCAATCACAGGATAATATCCATCTCAGAGATAATGTATCCGCCTATGTTCGAACTTTTTTAAAATTCGCATTTGAAATGCGCTATTAAAACTATTAAGTTTCATTCAGCCCGCTTCCTTTACAGGCGATTTCCTAGGTCCTAGCACACCTAGAAGTAATCCCCAAATAGTCGTTACCTTCACAACGACATCAGCCATTCATAATTCATTCCTTGTACCCTACACTCGTTGTTGGAACTATCATTTAGAACATTGAAAACCGAGGTTAGCCTTTTTAAGCAATGATTAGATGGTAGTTACCTTGAATTATCTGTTTTTTTTTTTTTCTGTTTTTTATCGGTTTTTTTTTCTTTACAAGCGTTATGACAAGTAAAGGAGCTTAATTAAATAAGTATAATTTAATTATGAAAGCACTCGTACATTGCGAAATATTTAAAGTGCGCAACTATCTAAGGATTTGGTTTTTATAAGCATTTATAGTTACGAAGTAAATAAACAAAAGTTTTTAATTTCCATCATCGACGCATGAGGGCATATGAACTGTGCTATCCCTTTCGAACATTAAAAAATTGATATGAACGCTTAACTTTTTCAGGGACTATGTTTTTCCCTATTTTCATATATACCCAACTTTAAATACCGTAAACTTAACTGTAAATACCGTTATCAATGCAGCCAAACCCAAAAGATTTGTTGTAAAAGTTAGTGTAATGAATGCTTCATTATAACATTTTTGCTCTTTTTATTGATGATAGTATTTTGATCAGCGACATCTATTAGTTGAAATGATAAAATAATGCCAAGTATCAACGTACATAACGGTAAGCGGTTAAACTAAAGGCAGGAAAATGTCTACTACACGAATTGACTTAAATTTCCATTGCGAACTGTTTCAACGCCGGGATTTCATTGGTTGCCAGGCAAAAAAGGAAGAGCTTTCTATCGCGTACTCTGACTGGCAACGAAAAGTGGATACACTACGAGAATTTGAAGGACAAAAATTTATGGGTTAGTCCAAGAGAGTTATCGACACGGAAGCGGAATATTCATGCCCACATAGTTTTGCTGTACATGAAGTGGGATTCGCAAGATGTTGTATATAATGAGCTGCTAAAACCGAACAAAACTGTTACCCGACAACAAAAGGCAAGCAATAGCGATTAACAAACGCAAAGTCATTCTCTTGCATCACAAGACTCGGCCACACATCGTAAAAGTGGTCAAGTGCTGTCGCTCGAATGCAAAGCTCTGCCGTATCCAACATAGTCACCACACAGAGCGCCTCTCAATTATCGACAATTGAATCGCTGCCAAACCAATATAGTTCTTTTGCTACGATCTCGCCATGTTACCAGACAGAAGGAAGGAAGTTATAGCAAATGACGGAAAATATTTTGTTCCAAATTTTTCTTAATAAATACTTTTCCAAGTGAAATAGCGGTCAAAATATAAAATATTACATCAAGCATCCATTTACACTGTTTAAAGATATGATTCGAGGTTTTAAATAGAAATAATAAAAAAGTATACAATCGATTTGAGCGTGTCCGTCTGTACGTCAGATCTTCTATCCATCTATCCGTCTGCCCAACTGGGTAGTATCTGTGGTAAACATTCTCCCGTTAGCGAAAATGGACGTTTTTCGTACACATTTGCAAAGGAATTTAGAAGCGATCTAAACTTTGCAAAGTCAAATACCGCCTACACGTCTATACGAGATAAGCTTTTATTCTAAAAATAGAGGAAATCCGTAGCGCGCACTTATTATAGAGCTTGAAAATGCAGTTCTTGCACTTTTTTGGTCGTTTTTGGTACAACGGTGATGTATTTAAACGGCCGAATATAATTTTCTTTTTTGCTTTTCTTCGATCTGCCCCTTTCCTCCTCCGTTTTTGAGACTCCGGGAATCGCGTTAGAAAAACGTGAACAGAACTCTACAAAACTCTATCATCATAATAAAATATATCAGTTCTAATATAATCAATAATATATCTATATAGTCAATATTTGTCATTCTTGCCGTCCTTCCGAAGACCTTTGCCACTATTTACGGAAATAGTTGTCTTTGGATCTTACGACAATTTGTTAATCCCTTCGCGTTTTAGTTTAATGCTCTATAAATACTTTATCTACGCACCTTCTCGAGTACAGAATTTGTGGCAAGGGTTTAACGTAGGTTCCTGCCTGAAAGGCTTAACCCCACGGTGGCCTAAGCCACTTTTAAGCGTACTACGCCCCCTGGCGAGTTAGACAATCCCCACAGAGTAGGGGCCTAAACAGCACCAGAGTCCAGAACAGTTTATTGTGTATGGAACAATAAACCCCACTCTGGTGAATGGCGAGGCCTAGCTGCACTCAATTGTTCCATTTTAGCTAGGAACTCGCCAACCACAACCATCACGAGTACTCCCCGAAGGGCCGCACCCAAGCAGTCAGGACTCACAAATTAATCAACTGACTGCTTCCGCCATAAGGCTTCCACTGTGCTGTTGATCAATTACCACCATTACCCGCAGGCATCCGTGACATGTGTTCAAAAGTAAAAATAGGTAAAAGGGGAAAACTTATTCGTCATATCCCTTTTCCATTTTTGCATATATTAATTAATTTACCAGACATTTTCTATCAATCGGCCAAAGGGAAGGCCTTCCGTCAATTCCTTTTTGCATTAATAGTATAATTAATTTATTTATTACGACTTAAGGACAAAGTCCATCATATACCCGCAGGCATACGCGGCTTTGTGAGGCGACCTTCTCGAGTACACATTATGTTATGTATATAAGTATAAGAATGATGGCAACAAACTAGACTTATTGTCTAGGCCTCATTAGAGCCTAAGAGATGTTTAGCCATGAGCCGACCTGCTAAGCAAATGGTATTCAAGGCTTAGATTGGTAATATCGGCAATATTCTTACAGACAATTAACTAAAACGAGATCGCTAGAAAATAGCGGCATCAATGGGATATCAAATTATTAATGGGGTCGGTCGAATCGTGAGTTAAACTGTAAATCCATTAATTTAAAATATAAAATAAAATATCACCGCAAACTTTGCGGTTCTTGTCTTCACTCTATTTATTATTCCTTCTATCTATCTGGTTTCTTTATTTTTTTTTATTCCCTTGATGTATTTACTTCTCCTTTTTTTTTTTCCATTTGCGGTCACAGTTACCGAAATAATACATTTAAGGTGAGTTTGATTTGTGTCTTTAATTGAAAAATGTTGAGGAGCATTAGATACGAATTATTTCTTATTTAATATGCAAAATGTTTAGCGTGGGAAACAAAAGTTTTTTCTTCATATTCATTAATACGAATGCATTGACTGATAAAACGGCAAAATTCGATCGTATTACAGGTAGAGAAATTAAAATTAAACAAAATAAATTCTTTTACTTACTTGTAGCTATTGTACAGTTGGCCTCTGTCAATAGTACGATCAGCAGCCATGTCATGCTGATGAAATGTGTTGAATGTGTTGAAGTTGCCATCGCCGATTGATTTCGATAAACTTAGTTAATCGCTATCGTCTCTTTTTTTTTTCGAAGGAATTTTAATGAATATTCGAAATAAGCAAATGATTTTTTTTATTTATTTTTTTTGATTTCTAAAAAAGAATTCAATTAAAATAACCTTGTGCGGTATTATTGTTGCGTATTGTTGTGTTAAATATACTTTAAAATACTTTTCTCTTTTTGAGTTATATTAAATGAAATCAATTAAAAATTTGCTGATAAATATAGAAACGGAATATTGTTTTTATTAATTTTTATTTATTTTTATATTTTTGATGGGAGTGCTATTCTACATATTAACATACAAACAATCACTTTGTTTCATCGCTTGTTTGTGCTTTTGAAGATAAACAAAAACGCTGAAAAAGACACCAAAAAAAAAAAAATCGTGATTTAATTATTATGCTTTAAGTAAAAACAATGTAACAAATTAATTTACATTTTATTGAATTTTTCATTTTTTTTTTTTTTTTTGCAAAATTTACATACGCACACACACACACACACACACACACACACACATACATACACACAGTCAAAAGCTGAAATTTTACGGATATCTTCCTGGGCGGGTACCGTATAATAGATATGCGTAAGTTCGGAAAATCATTGCTACAATTAATAAAAACGTCGATTATAAAAATCTTGAGTTCATTGCTCTCGCCACCCATTCTCTCATGCTCTACTGACATACCAAACAATTACCAGAAAATTTTATGATTGGTAAATAGTTGCTGCAGATGACAGTTTTCCATGATTGACTTTAGAACAAATGTGACTTTTTTTTTACTTCTTTTGTGCTTCTTCTATGTGAATTGTTTATGTAATTATGAATATGTTTTCATTCTCAATTATTTTGAAATGCATTTGCAAAGCCAATATTTTTATATAGAACTGAGCCGATTTGCGGATTTTATAAATATTTAGACCTTATGGGAACTAAGATTAAAATTTTATGTCAAAAAAATGCTGAATAAACGTAAAACAATGCAAACTTAAACGCACTAAACTTTACGTATTGTGCACTTGCGATGCGTACGCCAACATAACATATGTTAGGTAAAGCAAAAAACTTGACATTATGCTTTTTCGCCCAAATCCAAATCCATTTTTCTTAAATTTTAAAAACACTTTGCTATATTTTCGCTGAGTCATTCAAGCTGTCATGCTTTCTGAATGGTTTGTCTCAGTTGCGCCCTTTAATCTCATTCGGTTGCAGGCAGCAGAATATGATTCACGATTTACCTTCGATTTTCCCAAGTACCATGCGTTTGCGTAGCCTTATACATTTGAGATCACGATATTTTTCGTACATTATTGTCGTACATAACTTGTTTTGCCTACCTTGCCTGTTGTGGGGTTTTTCAAAGTCTGCTCGATGTATACAAACTACTACTACTCCGTCTTTTCCTCTCTCCGTACCTATAATTGTTCGAGACCACTACAGTGCTAACAGTCGCAGGAGATACTCCCTGAATTGCTGGTCACAATAAGGAAAAGCATGCTTGTATCCAGTCCTATGTAAACATTTTTGCCGCAATATTATAAGATGATATATGCCAGAGTTTCTCAACGTTTTCGACGAATTTTATCGTCTTTATCAACGATGTGCCAATCAGAGCGTGGCGTGTCTTCCCGAAATCTTCGGAACGCAACATATATATGTATGTACACATGTAGCGAAATGAAGTTTTTAGTAATGCACAAATCCTATAATGGCAATGGACAACTTTTTAATTCCAAAAGAATTTTAGTTCCACAAATATAGTTGGGCCCATATCAGCTTGCGTGCAATAACTTCTACCAAAGGATATTTACAATAGACATTACACAAACGGACGCACAAACATGCTTGAAACTATTTAAAATTTGATGCTGTTCAAAAATATATATACTTTGTAGGGTGTAGGATGCTTCCGCCTGGGCGTTGCAAATCTTTCGACAAAATGAATATACCACTCATACTTCGATGACGGTCATAAAAGAAAATACAATTAAAAACACATAACTCTGCTTTCTATATAATTCAAATCTTGCGTAAATTTTAGAATCCCTCTAAAGGCCAATGAAATTTCCCCAAAATATTTAGAAATGCCGGTACATTTCATTTTATAACATTAAGCCGATGTATGATGTATATATCTACAGAGTATACTTCACCAAACACTTTCATTGCTTACCCTGGCTCGGATTCAATCGAATTATAAAGTTTGTGGTTGTATTCTTGAGCGTAATGAAATTTTAAACCAAGGTAATGCAACTTTTTATCAGTTTGTAAGTGGTTCCACTTGATTTAATTTGAAGAAATTACCGAATTTTATTATGTAATCTGTAATCTACTTGGGATAATTTAGTTTAAAAATAGCTCCAAGTTGTCGTTAAACTACGTAAAGTTTTTTTTTTGGCGGCGGAGTAAGACTGCTGCAAAATTCGAACAGAGTTAGCCTTATTCTAGGCATGACCTTGCAGAAAGCAACTATTTACGAAAATTGAAGCTCTAAGTTCCCATTTTACGACTTTACGAATTTTTGACAAGAATGGTGGAAGCAACAATGTACCAATCTCTCAATTTCTCAACCTCTATGAATCATTAATGTGTGGATATTGCGGTTGTATTAGGTCTCTGAAGCCATCAACTTTTGGTTACAATCGATTACATTTAAGTTAATAAATGTCAGTTAAGGCTGTATATTGAGACAGATAGATATAGATAAGTGTACCAAAAACTTTATGCTGAAAAATGTTTTTTAATTTCCTTGATGAACAACTAAGAACGACGCATTCACTGCACCATGTTTGGGTAAGAGCTAAAAAACCGGAAATCGAATTAGGGTCACCTACAACGGGCAATAGCTTTGAATTCGGCTTTGGTTAAATATTGCAAAATTTATACGCACTGTTGCCCATAATTTTTAAACTACATCCACATTTTAGATTAGGAATGAGAAGTAAAATATTTATTCGAGTTTACGCCCAAAGGCTATACAACAACATTTTTTCCCACCTTTTCAGCTTTTTTTCATTATATTGCATAAATTCTTAGTTAGTTAACTAATTGCATGTAACCGTTGTTTTCGCGCTAATTTATTTCAATTTTAGTTACTTATAAAATTTACCCATTATTCCGATTTCTTTTCCTTTCAAAAACAATCTATTCACCTGTGCCGACGTAAATGTACCAACGCAGGTATCGCTTAAGGGCACGATTTAAGGAAATTTGGTCTGAGTAATTCATTTTAACTTCAAAGAATATAAGGGCGATTAATAAAGCTGAATTTCAATTGTTCAGGGAAAGCATAACCCAGTTAAACGCCATTAATCTATGTAAATTTTTTTTATGTATGTATGTATGTGCTATTTTGGGTAAAACATCTATTTGCTCTTTTCACTCAACATTTTTGTTTTTTTTTTTTTTTTTGTGTTTGTGTGCAATTAAAATTTATTTATATATATTGAAATTAACCTTCACATATAGATTTCATGCGAATGTTTCCTAAGCATGCGAGAAAATCATTGCAATTAAAGTTAATGAACATAAAAAAAAAGCATATAAAGTAACAACAAAACAATTAAGTTAAATCTCCTTAACAATGTAATTTAATTAGATTTTTATATGAGAGAGAAAATTTAATTTAAATAAACATTGGCTAGTTAATGAGTATGCCTCGTTATCGATTGAAACAATTTCATACTGTCCATCGCCGGATTGCAGTATGATCATATTGTCGGACCGTTTGCGTTCCGTACACGGAAGGAAGCTTTAGAGACCTCGATATGTATATGTATATTCTGGATCAGCATTTTGAATCGATTCATGCATGTCCGCCTAAAGGTATTAACTTGAAATTTGCCAAAAACTTTGGAAATTCTTGCACGCAGATTGATGTTGAAAGTGGCCCAAGCTTGCTGTATAAATTTAACTGAGAAAGTGTCTGCTTTCAAAAGCTAGAAAAGTGCAATTTTATGCTCATACACATGAGCTAGACGAAGTCAAACTGTACAACTATACACATTGATGATATGACCGGTACTGTAGCGCTTGGATAAAAATTGGCTACGCCTATTCAATATTTGTAGCTTATCGAATGGCTTCATTTCTTGTCGAAAATTTTTTTAACAGAAGAAAATTGCAGATAAAGTGTATATAATAAGCTCTCGATCAGTATCAAATTCAGAGTTCGTCTAGTCCTGTCTATACGTTCGCTCTCTAACTGCCCGTCTGCTCAGTCGTAAAAATTCAAAAATCGGTATCAAATTTGTTGAAAAGTTTTTCAAAATTCAAAATATGAAAAAATTTTTCACATATATGCCCATAATTATGAAAGTGATCTAAGTCAAAATTTAAAAAATATGAGTTTATCAGTTATTTCACAACACATTCTTTTAAATTAAATTAATTCAAAAATGAACCATTAGCTAGTGATTGTAACTTCAATACTATATGAAATTCATTATCAAAGTGGTCAAAGGCAAATATTGCAAGAAATTATATGAATATAACTTTGATTTACTGAAGGCAAAAATCGAAGCATACAGTAATGAGGAAGAAAATTACATTTTAGGCAAAAACTTGCTCTACATTTTGCAAAATGCTGAACGAGCTAGAAAATGCCTTGCAGAGGACCGGAGAAAGTAAAAGAAAATCGCAGGGAATATTACGGATTCACATTTGATTTGCAAAAAGCACTCCCCTATCCAGAACTCTCTGCTACATTAGCTTGTTATAAGGGAAACATGTATGTGTACAACTTGCGTTTCCAATAATTTCCATGGTGACAATCTCAACTACATACTACAGCTTAAGAGGTGTAGAGGAAAACACGTGATAGCGTACAGTGATGCTTGTTCAGGTGAAAATCCTAACCTTAAAGTAGCATTGAGATGGAAAAAAATTGCTCAGTCATCAAATAATAATGATATTACTGAAACGATAGGCCACAAATTTTTGGTATCTGTTATCATTCCCTTCTACCGAATGACCTTGATTTTGGATTGATAGAAATGAAAAGAAAAAAAGCAAATTACATCTATCGCCGTGAACATTATTAAGAATGGGTAGAAAGGTGTAGAACAAGAAATACATTTTCGGTAAAGCGAATATCGCGATCGGATCTTATTTCGACGAAATCACTGGAAGAATCAATGATAAAAAGAGTAAAAAATAGTGCGGCATGAGTCTGTCTCTTGGCTGCAAATATGATAAGATATTCTATAAAACTTCTTTAGATGATTCCAAATTTCACGTTTCGAATCTTTCACCCAAAACGAGAAGACCGAAAATATACAGAAATACTAAATGACTTCCATTGTGCATGGACCATTAGACCAGTAACGGAAGAAAGACACGAAGACATTATAT